ACTTCCAAATGGTGTTCCTTCATCTCAATGTCCTCGGCTTCTTCTGAAGCCCAGAAAGAGATATGAGAACACAGCCATTATGATGGAGGAAACAGTTACTATGGTTACTGTTGTCATGTCAATGACCGTTAGGATAGCATCCCAGCAGGATTCCTCAGTTCTTAACTGAGTTTTATAGTCTACTTTTATCAATATATCCTGATCAGCCTTCTCTGTGTTTTGTTACATTCGCTCATAAAATAAAACCCTGCTAAGATTAGTTTGGTGTCTTATAAAACGTGATAAGAATGACATCTTTTTTCCTTTGCAAAACTTCTGGGGGCTGGATGTAGGCTTAGTAAATCCCCGTGGAATTTACCGTTCATTTCAACAGGCTTGCAGTAAACCTGGGTTGAGATGGATACACCCAGGACCCAGTTCTTAGAAAAGCATATCCCATCCTTATCCCATTCTTTCTCAGATTGGTTCACTCCAAATGAGTTTGCCTATAAGTCAGCCTCTTATTCCCAGTCAGTACGGACAATTAAGAGTGATGGGAGCTGTCATTCAACATACCTTTAGGGAACCAGAATATGGAAGGTTGGGAGCTGGTGACTCTTGAAAGCTTGGGGGCTGGAGAAATGTTCAGAGTTGTTAATTTTGATCCAGAACTATACTGAAATAGGGGAAAAACTACCCCATATAGAGTAGATAGCTAATTTTTATTATGTCAATAACCTTCTAGATCAGGGGTCTCCAACCTTGGTAAAGTGAAGCTTGGAGGACTTCAATTCCCAGAATTCCCCAGCCAGGTTTGTGGGAGTTGAAGTCCTCCAGGCTTAAAGTTTCCAAGGTTGGAGACCCCTGATCTAGATAGCCAAATACACTTCTTTGGTATTAGAGATACCTCTGTTGCACTGCCTGTTCATTGAACGCCACACCTCCTAAGTTTCACTTGTCCCCAATTCTGCTGGTAATTTATACATCTTTGAAAACCTGGATGTTCCCTTGGGGTTTTGAGATTAGATAAGCCTATCAATGTGATTTCTTTTATATGATTTGTGTTTGCATGGACTAGGTTAGATTGTTCTTGAGTGCCATTAGATTATTATTATGTTATTATTGTTATTACTTGTTGCTTTTTGTTGGTTTAAATCCAATTTTACCACCCAGAGTCCCAAATGTGAGAAGAGCAACCATGTAAATCAATTAAATAAATAGCTAGACTTTCCAAAATAAAAAAATGCCAAAAATATTGGCTAAACACCTTGTTGGTGGTTTCACTGTCTTCTCCACACCTCAATGTCTACTTAGACCAGAAGCTTGTAAAGTTTGGGGTACTGTAACAAAGGGTGGGCTTCAAAAATTTTAGCAAAGGGTTCTCTGTCTGGTTGTTGGGTGGGCGTGGCCATGCTGGGTGTGGCCTAGTCAGCCTCCTACACCATGGTGGAGGGGTGTTTTTGCCCTCCCTGGGCTCCGGGAGGGTGAAAATGGCCCATTTCCGGCCTCCCCAAACTTCCGGGATGCCTGTTTTTCACCCTTCCCAGGGCTCTGTGTGCGCCCTGCATTTACCTGCATCCAAAACGGACCACGTGGGGATTCCTGGGAGGGGCGGGGTGGGTGGGACCAGCCATGAGTGGGATTTGGGGGTTCTCCAAACTGCACAGAATCTTAGCTAGTGGGTCTCCCGAACCCCTGCGAACCCCCAGCAGCCCAGCCCTGACTGTAACCCTGTAAAATGATAACAAGGTTTGTGTGATATTCCTTGAGAAGAAAACCAACAATTTTGTTAAGGCTACAGGTGAACAAGGTATAACTCTACCATCTTATGTTATTTCTGTCATATTATCTTGATTTAGGCTTATTTTTATCCCCACTAGCAATAGATTAGTTATCTCTAGCCTTTCTCATGCCATCTAGCAAAAAGGTCCGAAAGGAAAAATCATGGAAAAATGTCCTGAACTTCGCTAACTTCCAAAAACAGTCCAAAAACAACTGCTATATTTCCACTTGCCAGAGGTTACCAGCCAGTGGAAAACCAACCACCAATGACAGTGTTAGTGGATGTTTTTGATAGATGCGTTAGATGCGTTTCACCAACTCTCAAAAATTCTAGGCTTTTGCTCCTCATTCCTGCCTTATTGCTGAAAATCCTCCTAATAAAAATTGTGGGCAATGGACCAGAAAATTGTCCACAATAGCTTTGGGAAATGACCTTTGGAAAGTTGCCCGCCTCTCCTCTGAGAAGCGAGGATGGAGTTTTGTGTACGCATTCAGGGCCTGACATTGCCAACAAGAGCCCCTAAAATTCAGCTTGAAACCTTGGAAAACTTTTGCCAGGAAACTGCATTATAAATACAAAGTGATGTCAGAATTCAGCAAAAAAGGGGAAACGACACAGACTTGTGTAATGTCTCACCTCGTGATTATTTATTGAGGACCTAAAAGACTAAACACATCATTTGATATGAAGGACAGCTTCTTAGTATGCCTGATGGCGAAGGTGTGCAATTTATAAAAATAAAAACATGTATGGCTGCAATGAATAAACAGGAAGAACACACTGGGTGAATTTATAATCTCTCGCACGGTGTTCTGGAGGACCTGTTTGAAATAGGCATGGGTTTCTCATAGGCTCTAGAGCAGTCTTTTTAAAACTTGGCAACCTTATGATGCGTGAACTTCAGTTCCCAGAATTCCCCAGCCAGCATGCTGAGTTGAAGCCCAGGCATCTTAAGGTTGCCAAGTTTCAAAAAACATAGCCCCAAAGAATCTGTAAGAGCAAAGCTTCCCTTGTCTCCTTGGCTTTCCTTCGCTTTGAACAGTGCAACATCGGCATCTTCCTGTTTATAATCCTGCAAACCATAAATATTTCAGTGTGATGGGGGCTACAAGGTCTGCCAGCCTAACCAGTTTTCCTGGTTGATGGCCAGGTGATATAGTTAGAAGGATGACTGGACATTGGACCGACTTCTTGGCACTGATGGATTTTTCATTTTCCCTTTGAATCATTTAGTGGCAAAATCCCACTGCCGTTTAAGTTCAAATAGGGATAAAGTCAGAGACCCAATTCCACGGTTCGTTGGCTGTTGTGGCTTAGTAAAATTACAGGTAGTTTTGCTGGTAAATGAATCTCAGCTTTGAAATGGGAGATCCCAATGATATAATTCATCAGCACTCAAACAGTGCTGGGTGACTCCCTACATTTTGACAGCTTAAGAATGTATTTCCTGCTTGTGTGTTTTCAACCCTTCTTCAAGGTTACATTCTCTCCCTCTTTTTTGCAGTTTACATCACTTATGCCTAACTTTGCCATATGGCCCAAGTAGCCTTCAGCAATGCAAAGGTCTCCAAACATTTGTGACTTGTGATTTGTGACTCCAAACATTTGTGACTTGTGCCTGCCCCAAGGACCATAGCAAATATGCAGTACTGATGGAGGGCAGCTTTTCCGTGGATGTGGTTTTGTGCACTGTCTGGATTTTGTGCATGTGTGGAAAGGGCTTCGCTCGCTTGCATGGCCCAGTTCCTGGCGGAGTGTAGACCGATGCCGGTCCCTGCCCTGGGGGTTTGGAGACCCCTGATCTAGTGAGCTTTTGTGACTGATGGTAAATGGAGAAGCAAGGCCTTCCCAGTTCCAGTAAACACCTTAACTATTACAGCATAGGGGTGCTGCAAGGTAGTTGTTGATGCAACCCAGAGGTGGTATTCAGCCAGTTCGGACCAGTTCTGGCATACCAGTAGCGGAAATTTTGACCAGTTCGGAGAACCGGCAAATACCATCTCAGACTGGCCCCACCCACCTGCCCCTGCCATTACCTCTCTTATATTTCCTTGTTTTTTAGCACAGCTGATTGTGTGGCAGAGCAGATAGCCACACCTCAGCTGAGCTAAAAAACAGTTCAGGCAGCTCACCAGCATTGGTATTTGAGCCATACGCACACAAGTGCGCATAGAACGGTAAGAAAATATTTGGAAACCCACCACTGATGCAACCACATTCAGCTGGAGACGCTTGCAGAATTCATTTGATTTCTCTTAAGGGCTGGCTTCCATAGTGCAGATTCCAGAGGGGTTTTTTTTTTCTGCTAAGCTTGCAAAAATTGCTTGTAGTATTTCTGCTGCTGTCAAACTTTTCCAGTGAAAAACTGCATCGCTTCATTTTTAAATGCACATAAGTTGCTGTTTCTCTTCCTTGATCCTTGGATTATCATTCCAAGAAAAAAAAAATGCTACTGATACAAAAATATGTGGCATTAGATGAGAGGAGATTGACAGAAATATCAATGTAAGGACAAAAGTACATTCTGCTAATGCAAATCTGCAAGAGTGTGAAACTCCATTAAAGCTGTTTATAAATCAATGTTTCTCAGCCTTGGCCTTTTTAAGGTGCGGGGACTATAACTCCCAGAATTGCTGGCTGGGGAATTCTGGGAACTGAAGTCCACACATTTTTAAAGTCATCAACATTGAGAAACATTAAACCAGCTAAGTTAATTATAACAGGCTATCCAGTTTTTTTATGAGGTTTTTTTTTTTTAAAGAAAAAATATTTTCAGCAGAGTTCTAAAAACAGAAAAATAGCCATTCTGCCTTGAATGAACAACGACAAATATTCGATGCGTTTTCCACCTATTTTTATCCCTTTTTCTCCAGGAGAAAATATATAATAAATGACACCCAAGATGAGTGGTCTTTTACAAGCTGCTTGACTTTGGCGAACGGTAGTCGTTGATTTCATGAAATTCGCACTGGAGGTGATTATCCTTCATTGCCAAAGAAAATTGCGCTGCCTGGAATTTATGAGCTTTGCAGTCTAGGAAGTAGAGAGGAAAGCAAGAGAGAGGATCTTCAGTTCCCTGGAGGAAAAGTTACACAGTCCTGGACAAGTGATCTGTAGCCCATGGTGGCTCTTCAGATAGGCTTCAAACTATTTAGGCTGCTCTATAGGAAGTTTCTTCTGTCGGATCTGTGGGAATAATGCGTTTATTTGTGTCGGCCCTTTTGATCCGCTAGGCTCAACAGTGGCGGAATGAAAATTTTGAACGGCCGATTGACATGGAAGGTTCGGGGGACGACGACTCCTTCGAAGATGAAGAACTAGAGGAAATGGAGGACTTCTATTCGGGATCTGGATCTGGATGTGAGTATGGAACTAAAATGGAAAGCATACGTCATGCTAGGAAGGAATACGTCATTCCAGTTGTGGCTTGAATTTGTCCGATTAGTAGAATAGATGGAAAGGCAGATGTCATCTTTGGATTGAATTTTTTTAAATGCTAAGCCAACCATGGGCTTTCTGTGATTTTTCTTGTGGATGTGGTGTGAACTCAGCTAACTGTGCTCATGGTTCATGCCGTGGGCAAACCTCGTTCATAGCATGGTTTAATGCAGTCTGCAAACCTGACCCTGCCTTATCTTTTATGGTGTGCTCAGTTTTCAGAGATCAGTAGAATGATGGACAGATTCTTCTCTCTCTCTCCCTCCCCTTCTTTCTCCCTCCCTCCCTCCTTCCCTCCCTTCTCTCTCTCTCTCTCTCTCTCCCCTTCTCTCTCTCTCCGCTTCTCTCTCCCCCCCCTCTCTCTCTCACACACACACCCCACAGCACCATGTGTTCCCTCACTACAATCAACAGTCTCTGGTCACCCCCATTGCCTCATTGGAAAAAGTTATCAAGAAGCGCTAAGCGTTATTAAGCTGACTCTGTAAAACCGCTTAGAAAGGGCTGTAAAGCACTCTCTATGGAGGGGTATATAAGTCTAAGCTATTTCTATTGCTACTGAGATAGGGCCCAACAATCCTGTTTTTATTGACAAGAGAAGGAGCAGAGTGTTGAAGCTTAACTCACCCGTTTTACTGCTTGAATTCCACAATCATCTCCATTTAATGACCCCATAATCCCTTGTGGGGTGCAGTCTGGGCAAGTGAATGGAGATAGCAGAGTGTTTTAATGGCCGGATGCCCTTCCTGTCACCAATGCAGAGTTTTGTTCAGCAGATACATTCTCAGTGTGCCTGGGGAGAGGAATATCTGCCTCTACCTAGGATCGAACTCACAGCCTCCTGATTGTAAGGCAAGAGTTTCACCTCTAGGCCATTCACCACTTATATTTCTCTCTCTGGGCACACTGAGAATGTATCTGCCTCTACCTAGGATCGAACTCACAGCCTTCTGATTGTGAGACAAGAGCTTTGCCTCTAGGCCATTGCACCACTTGCTTGAATCCCACAACGATGAGTTGAAATCCTGGCCGTGTCCCTTGAATACCTCTGAGAATGTGTTTAATGCTGGATCTGATACACCTTTGCATTCTTTGGGTCCAAATATTGTAGAGTGGAGTTCCTATCACCCACCCAAGTCCTTTGCAATTCATACTCTCTCTCCATGCTGTTACTTGCAGACCAAATTCAACAGATTAAAAGAAATGTTGAACGATGCCTTAGGATTTATGGAGATTTGCATCTTTTTAAAGGGGGGAAAAATACTGCAAGAGTATAAAGCGCTTAAAGATTAACAAGTGGTAAATTCCATTGAATCGAAAAGAATGACTTCTGAAGGAAGCATGGAGATAATCGCAATGCTTATTATTTAGCTCTGGTTGTAAAAAAACACTGAAAAAAAAATCAAAGCAAGTTATTAATACTGACTAAAATAGCAGGAATGCCATTAAAACCCAAATTGGAGCAGTTGCCATGTTCTAATTTGCCAGCTAATATCCATAGTTCAATTTTCATTCAGTTCACGGTGCATTGTTTTGATTCATTCATTGACTTTAATTATTTCGAAGAGATGGAGTTTTTCAGTGGAAGTAAAATGAATAGTAAACCTGGGCGCCATTAGGTAGGAATGAAGAGCAGATCCCTTGTAGTTTGGGAGTTGTGCTTTTCAGTACATCTAACAGAAAACTGGCATGCTTCCAGATTCTTCTAAACGACAACTCCCAGCACCCGTCATCCTTAAGGCATTCTGGGTGGGCTGGGGGGGGGGGAACTGTGGCTTAATAACATCTGGAGGACTACAGTTTTCCCAATTCGTATTATAAGATAACTCTTTGTGGTATCTTGTTTCACTTGCGGCATTGCAGTTGTTATAACTAATAATATTAATCATCATCATTTAATGACCCCATAATCCCTTGTAAGGTAGAGTCTGGGCAACTGAATGGAGCTAGCAGAGTGCTTTAATGGCTGGATACCTTTCCTGTCACCAATGAGGAGTTTTGTTCAGCAGATAGATTCTCAGTGTGACCAGAGAGAGAAATACCTGCCTCTACCTAGGATCGAACTCACAGCCTCCTGATTGCGAGGCGAGAACTCCACCTCTAGGCCACTGCACCACTCTGCATGAACTAATATTAATCAGCTTGAATAATCTACTGCAGTGGTCGCCAACCAGTGGGCTGGGGAACCACTGGTGGTCCGTGAGAAAATTTTGGTGGTCCGCACAGAAATGTCACTCCCAAAGCAATTAATCCAGGCTGCGCAGGAACACAAGGCTGTGCTGCCCACATGGCCCACAGGAACACAAGGCTTGCATCGTTTGCATTGTAAACAACACGACCAGAGACACTGGGAAAATCCCCAAAAAAGTCTGCAGGAAAATTCCCCATCCCGTTTTCCTACTGATTGATTGTTCTTTATTTGGGATCGCAGGATACCATCTCCAGCTCCATTCTCAGGAGGAGAGAGAGAGAGAGAGACTTTTGGTTTCATGCAAGGAAAGCAGCAGAAGCAGCAGAGGTTTTTCTTTCTCTCCCCCAAACTCTGCCAGAAATGAATCTTTGTGAGACTTGTCACGCTGGCGCAGCCTCTTGGAGCAGGATGCCTTGCAGGGTCCCAAAGACTCATTTCTGGCGGAGTTTGGGGGAGAGAAAGGAAGACTTTCCTTGCGTGCAGCCAAAAGCAGAAGAAGAAAGAAACAGAAAGAAGCAGTCTGGTGGCCAGGCGCGGTGCCTGGGGTGAGTGAGGCAAAGTCCCCCCTCTGCCCTTTCCCCCCTCCCATCACTACCTTACGTTTTTGCAGGCCATGTGGGTGGCGCAGCCTTGTGTTCCCACACAGCCTGGATTAATTGCTTTGAGGGGGGGGTGTTTTGGGAGTGACATTTCTCTGCGGACCACCAAAATTTTCTTGCAGACCACCAGTGATCCTCGGCCCACTGGTTGGCAACCACTGATCTAGAGTACAGGTCGTCTTCAACTTACAACAGTTCGCTTAGTGACCGTACAAAGTTACAACGGCATGAAAAAAATGTGGCTTATCACCATTCTTCACAGCTATGATCTTTGCAGGTTCCCCAAGATCCTTGGGATCAAAATTCAGATGCTCAGCAACTGGTTCACCTTTATGACCGCTGCTGTTGTCCCCAAGGTCACATGATCCCCTTTTGTGACCTGACAAGCAAAGTCAGCGGGGGAAAATCCGATTCGCTTAACAATCAGGTTACTAACTTATCAACGGCAGTGATCCATTTAACAACCGTGGCAAGAAAAATGGGGCAATATTCACTGAACAAGCAACAGAAGTTGGATTATGGATTTCTTGTCTGGCCGCTCACAGAGGGTCAGATTACTTAACCATACCTCTTCAGCCCTTATTCTTAACATTGGTACACCACTAGGTTGCATGTTGAGTCCCTTACTCTATACTCTTTATGTGCATGACTGCGTTCCTACTCATGCTAGTAATACTACTGCTAAATTTGCAAATAATACAACAGTGGTGGGACATATCTTTGGGGGGATGAGTCTGCCTACCGAGATGAGGTGGACTGGTTGCTTTCATGGTGTGGAGACTAAAACTTGGTCCTCAATACCAATAAGATCAAGGAGCTTATGGTGGACTATAGAAGGAACAGATCAGATATCCAGCCCTTGCTTATCAGTGGAGACCGAGTGGAGCAAGTGGCCAGTTTTAAGTTTCTGGGTGTTACCATAAAAGAGATCCTGACCTGGGGTGCTAACATTGCAGCCCCGGTCAAAAGGGCCCAGCAGAGATTATACTACCTGAGACTTCTCAGAAAACAACAACTGAATGAAAAACTGCTGGTGACCTTCTACTGCTGCACTGTAGAGAGCATTTTAACTTACTGCACCTCTGTATGGTTTGCCAATTGCACAGTGGCAGATAGGACAGCACTCCAGAGGGTTAACGTCATTGCCCAGAGGATCATGGGTTACCCTCTCCCCTCTTTGCAGCTCCCGCTGCCTTAAGAAAGTTCAAAACATTCTCAAAGATGCATCTCATCCTGGGCACCCTTTTTTTTTGAACTATTACCATCTGGCAGACGGTACAGGATAATAAAAACAAGGACAAATAGGCTGAAAAATCCCAGGGCAATAGCTCTTTTGAATTCTGCTGTATAGTGCAGTGTTGGTGTGATGTCGGGGTTTTTCGGTTCAATGTGTGGAGTGTGAAGGATGTGTGTTTGTGTTTATTTTCATGGTCATGATGTGCACTGAAGATGGTGTTTGATTTCGTTGTACGAGGTGCAATGACAATAAAGTAAACTAACTAACTAGCTGGCTAACTAATTAGCTAACTAACTAACTAACAGAAGCGTTGGGCTTCAATTGAGATCGTAAGTCGAGGAATACACCTGTATTGTTTTCTAGATGAAGTTCCTGTTCTCTCTTGCAGATTTCAAGCAGGATCCCGGATCCAAGTCGGTTGTGCGGCTCACCACGGATTCACCCATCGTTCTTGCTACCACCTCCGCTGTGATGCCTGTCACATCTGTGCAACCGGTTGCCACTCCTCTGGCACCACTCCCTACCGAGGAAGTTATTTCTGAATCCGCCACCAACGGTCTGTACATTCCCAGGATTTCAGAAGTGCCAGCAGTCACCATCTGGAAAGCAGTAGGGGTTACTGCAACCCCTGCAGCCCGTGACGTCGCTACTACCACAATGACCACGACTGCTTCTAGCATGGCTACGACGGCCTCCGCCACAACGGTTACCTCTAGACCAACCACTGCCCTGAGAGACCTGCTGCCTGTGATCACAATTGTTGCCGTGACACAGTCGATGATGCTCGAAACCCCGACAACGGCTACTGTAGCCAGAACGGAAATTCCAGCTTCTCCCCTGGGGACGACCAGTGAGACAGAGGTCAGAGATACGGCCCAGCTCAGCACTTCGCAGGAACCAGATGTTACCACAGTGCCCCAGCCTCCCACAGCAACACCGACCGATGCTGCTCAGGTAGGAAAGTGTTTAAAGACAGGCTGTATCTCTCAGTATGGTGGTTTCTGCATGCACTAAACCAGAGGTGGGGAACTATGGCTTGTGACATGTGGACTTCGAAAGGACCATAGTTTCCCCATCCCTGCTAAGCCATAATCTTTCAGGTCTAAAGAACAGAATAGAATAGAATATGGAATATGGAATATAATATATAGAATATATATTCTTTAGTTATTAAAGAGACTAAATAATAGGATAGAATAATAGAATAGAGAAAATAATAGAATAGTAGAATAGAATATGTAGAATAAAATAGAATAGAATAGTAGAATACAGAGAACAATAGAATAGAGAATAGAATACATAGAATAGGATAGAATAGAATAGTAAAATAGAATAGGAGAATAATAGAATAGAGAATAGAGTAGAATAGAATAGTAGAATAGAACAGAACAGAATAGAATAGGAGAGAATAATAGAATAGAGAATAGAATAGAATAGAATAGAATTCTTTTTTGGCCAATGTGATTGGACACAGAAGGAATTTGTCTCCGGTGCATAAGCTGTCAGTGTACATACAAGCAATAATCATACATCATTATCATAATCATCGTAAAAATACATTCATGATAAATCATAAGATACAATACTTAGTGATAAGGTATAATAAGCTCACAATAACAGTCCTTCTGGTCTTTCTGCCTGTTTGTCAATCAATCAACCAATCAATGCCAGCCAATCATTAGTTTCCTCCCTTCCTTCCATTTTCCTGTCTTCCTGTCATCCTTTGTTTAGAAACAGTTCAATATTGTTGGGGCCAATTGGTTTTGAAGCAATAGGTTCACTACGTTGGTAGTGCCATTTCAGGGCAAATGTTCATCCCTTCTTTATTTCTTCTGTGTTTGGCTGTTCACCTGAGAAAAAGGATTTGGGGTGGAGTCTGCATATGCAAAGAAGGAAAAATAAATACAGGGAGTCCTTGACTTACAACAGTTCATTTAGCGACCATTCAAAGTTACAACGGCACTGAAAAAAATGACATGACCATTTTTCACAGCACCCTCGTGGTCATGTTATCAAAATTCGGATGCTTGGCAGCTGGCTCATATTTATGACAGTTGCAGTGTTCTGGGGTCATGTGAACAGCTTTTAATGACCTTCTGACAAGCAAAGGCAATGGAGAATCCAGATTTGCTTAACAACCATTTTATTAACTTAATAACTGAAATGATTCACTTAATAACTGTGGCTAGAAAGGTCATAAAGTGGAGGCAAAATTCACTTAACCAATGTCTCACTTAACAACACCAATGGTCACAAGTCAAGGACTACCCGTAGTGAGAGTAGAGTGATAACGGGAGGCTACAGCCTTTGCCCCTAATTTCTAATAGTTTCAGTGTTTCCTCAGATGACTTGAATGAAGAAGTCAAGGGAATGATTATCAGATTTCCAGATGACATCCCACTGGGTGGGATTGCTACTACTGTACTACTACCGCTCTAGAAGAGAGAAATAAAATTCAGATGGATGATTTGAGACGTGGGTTGAAAGTAACAGCTTGAAATTTAGCAGAGATGGGTGTGAGGTTTTTCACTTAGAAGAAAAACATCAGTTGTGTTAGTACAGAATGAGAGATACCAGGCTGGGTATAGTAATAGTGTGAAGGTAAAAGGTTCATTCTCCGAGCTTGTGGGTTGGTTTCCAGACATTTCTTTACCAGGCCAGGTAACACCTTCAGTTTAGGGGATGTCAGCAAGGGTGGGATTCCACTGGTGTAACAACCGGTTCAGTGAGTGCACGGTTTGCTCGTGTAAAGCACTTCAAAATGACACTTTTTCAGCTAAAACTTACCTTCTGCTGCAGCTATGGTGAGTAAAAACAGCTGATCCACGCAATCTGCTGTGCCCCCCGAATCAGCTAGCGTGAAAAACAAAGGAATGTAAGACAGATTAGGGCAGGGGCGGGTGGGCAGGGCAAACTAATCGTGGGAACTACCGGTTCACCCGAACCAGTCCGTACGGGCTGAATCCCACGCCTGGATGTCAGTGTTCTTCTGTTTATAAGGGCTTCAGATATGGGTGTATCTAGTGAGGGTCTTGTGATGAGTCAGCTGTGAGTCATCAGGGAGTTTTGTGATGGGTATTTTGATAAGGAGATTATATCAGGTCAAGGTCAATGGGAAGCGATGTGCTTGTGTGTGGGGATTGTGTGAGTTGGTTGTGTAGTAGCTACTGAGATCCTATAGATGGCGCTAGATGCTAGCAGCAAACTGCAGTGTTTAAAACCTATATGGGGCCTCTTGGCTACTTGCATGATCTCATTCCCTATATCTTGGTGAAGGTGGAAAGTCCCGGACTTCCCAGACATATAGGTGATCTCATTTTACTAACATCACCACTAGTCTTAAGGATTGGTTGGGAGGTTGTACCAATGTGGTTGGGAGGTTTCACCCATGTGGAATCTATTCTCCAATCCAAATACTGTGTCTATGCTACTCTTCCTTGCTTGTAAAAATGGTATAAAAGAATAAACGCTGCCCAGGCAGTCAGACATCTTGGCATCCTTCACAATGACTGATCTTTGAAACCCATCAGGTTGAGGGTTGGTGCTGTGTCTAGTTGGCCATCTGGTTGGTTTGGATTCTGAGGGGTTCGTAGGCTGGTTGTAGGTCATTGTGTCTGTTGATGGAATTGCTTGTGGAGTGTCAGGCTTCGATGAACTCACAAGCATGGTGGGTGATAGGGTGGCCAATGATTTTTGTGTTACTCCAATCGAACTGGTGCTGTTGAGTGTCGGTGTGGGTAGAGATTAAGGATTTGGGATTGTGACGTTTGACTGCCAGCTGGTGTTCGTGGATCCTGGTTTTTAATTGATGTGATGTTTATCCCATGTAGAATTGGTTGCAATGTGACAGTTGATTTTGCAGATTAGTAATAGTGTTTGTGAAAAGGAACTGGAGACTAATCACAAGTGAAATGTGAGTCAGTGGTGTGACATATTTGCTAAATCAGTCAAAGGCAGAGGTATAGTTTTTCCAAATGAGGTTTGTGTGTGTCATTGTTCTTCATTGGACAAGTTGTGCATTGAGTATTATGTCTAGATCTAAGCACCACATGTTAAGAGACATTCAGGGAAAGTGGAAGAAATACCAAGAAATGGCCGCAAGAATTCCCAGAGGTCTAGACCTTGAGGCTTGCAAGGAGAAACTCAGGGGATGATGGTTTTAGAATAGAATAACAGAGTTGGAAGGGACCTTGGAGGTCTTCTAGTCCAACCCCCGGCCTAGGCAGGAAACCCTTCTCCACTTCAGAGAAATGATTGTCCAACATCTTTTTACAAACTTCCAATGTTGGAGCATTCACAACTTCTGGAGGAAAGTTGTTCCACTGATTAATTGTTCTAACTGTCAGGAAATTTCTCCTTAGTTCTAAGTTGCTTCTCTCCTTGATTAGTTTCCACCCATTGCTTCTTTTTCTGTCTTCGGGTACTTTTTTGTTCTAAAGGAAGATGGTGTCAATGGGAAGATTGTGAGAATGATTTACAGAACAAGAATCTCTGTGGAGATTCTCACTCATCCAGATCATGGTTGTCCCAAAGGCATCTGAACTTTCTCTGTTTTTCCTTGAAAACGTTTCGTTCCTTATCCAAGAAGGATGAGAATTGAAGAAGCTCCTTGGATGAGAAGCAAAAGGTTTTCAAGGAAAAAAACCCAAGAAAGTCCAGCTGCTTTTTGGAAAAGCACCTTTGGGATTTGCAAAAGAAGTTAGGAAGGAGAAGGTGAAGACTTGTTTTTTTTGTTTTTGTTTTTAACTGAGCCAGACTGCCAGAAACAAAATAAGCAACAGGAAGGCAGATTCCATTTGGATGTTCAAGAAAATAATAAAAATCACTTCAGCACAGGAACCAATGCCGTGTGAGGATAATTAGCTCATCCTCACTAGATGGGCTCAAAGAGACATCTTTGGCAATGCTTTGAATTAGATCCCTGGTATTTAATCACTTGTGTTTCCTCTGTGAGTCTGTAAAATACAACACTCGTTAGCATGGAGAGGAAACATAATATAGAATTAAATTATGCATCTAAAGATACCTGTTACCATCCTACTAGAAAACAGACTTTTAAAATTGATTAAACTAATTGTAGAAATCCCACTTCTGCTATTGTCTACAACCACACACACACACACACACACACACACACACACACACAGACACACAAACACACACAAAAACCTGAGCAACCAGGAGCCCCATCAGTGAAACCTGTAATTAACCCAAACTAAAAATTTAGTTATTTACGTGAGTAGATAATACTTTAATGTCTTATTCCTTTGTGTGTGGTCTCCATGGCAACTTAGAACAGGAATTTAAATATAAAACAATCGAATGAACTGTATCGCTAAAAAGGAATGACACGAACTAAAAAAAAAAAAATTAAGCTGCGAACAGATCTAGATTTTGTATTGCTAAAGTTTGAGAAACCAAGAGGTGTCTAAATGAAATGAAAACTGGCGTTGTTTTAATATATTTATCAAGATCTACCGTATTAGGTCATTGGGATTCAATGGGGAATGTTGGTGAAATGGTGATGGAAGGCCCAGAACTGTTCAAGTTCCAGGTTCAAGTTCATGTCAGCTGTTATTTCAGATGATATAACAACCTATTTAAATAGGTTGAATAAATAGGCTGAAAAACAGCTTCTATTCCAGGGCAGTAGCTCTTTTGAATTCTACTGTATAGTGCAGTGTTGGTGCAGTGTTGTGGGTTTTCAATTCAATGTGTGGAGTGTGAAGGATGTGTGTTTGTGTTTATTTTCATGGTCATGATGTGCACTGAAGATGGTGTTTGATTTCGTTGTACGAGGTGCAATGACAATAAAGTAAACTAACTAACTAGCTGGCTAACTAATTAGCTAACTAACTAACTAACAGAAGCGTTGGGCTTCAATTGAGATCGTAAGTCGAGGAATACACCTGTATTGTTTTCTAGATGAAGTTCCTGTTCTCTCTTGCAGATTTCAAGCAGGATCCCGGATCCAAGTCGGTTGTGCGGCTCACCACGGATTCACCCATCGTTCTTGCTACCACCTCCGCTGTGATGCCTGTCACATCTGTGCAACCGGTTGCCACTCCTCTGGCACCACTCCCTACCGAGGAAGTTATTTCTGAATCCGCCACCAACGGTCTGTACATTCCCAGGATTTCAGAAGTGCCAGCAGTCACCATCTGGAAAGCAGTAGGGGTTACTGCAACCCCTGCAGCCCGTGACGTCGCTACTACCACAATGACCACGACTGCTTCTAGCATGGCTACGACGGCCTCCGCCACAACGGTTACCTCTAGACCAACCACTGCCCTGAGAGACCTGCTGCCTGTGATCACAATTGTTGCCGTGACACAGTCGATGATGCTCGAAACCCCGACAACGGCTACTGTAGCCAGAACGGAAATTCCAGCTTCTCCCCTGGGGACGACCAGTGAGACAGAGGTCAG